CTGTGTTAGTGAGCACTTCTCCTTTGCCGAGATTATCCATCCACCTCACAGGTGTGGCATATCAAGATGTTGATTAGACAGCATGATTATTGCACAGGTGTGCCTTAGGCTGGCCACAATAAAAGGCCACTCTAAAATGTGCAGTTTTATCACACAGCACAATGCCACACATGTCGTAAGTTTTGAGGGAGCGTGCAATTGGCATGCTGACTGCAGGAATGATTACACCAGAACTGTTGCCCGTGAATTGAATGTTCATTTCTCTACCATAAGCCGTCTCCAAAGGTGTTTCAGAGAATTTGGCAGTACATCCAACCAGCCTCACAACCGCAGACGATTGCACAGTCCCATGGCCGATGAGGTGGAAGATGGGTTGCCGTGACCTTGCTGAACACGTCCTGGAACGCCCTGTAGGCGGCTGGAATGTGGATTGAGCTTTGTGAAGCTGGGCTCTCTATAGTGGTAGAGCAGAGCGGTATGGAGAGCTTAGCTCGGTCTGGAAGAGGGAGATCTGCTAAACATGTCCTGAAACAGGATTCACTCCACCGAAGTATTTCCCCGGAGTTCCAGTGGATGTCTGGATTATGTTTAGCCAGCCAGGGGCGCCCCAGGACGATATCTACTGTAGCCTCCTCCAGCACCAAGAACGAAATCCGTTCAGCATGGAGGTTTCCAATGCGAAGAGTGACTTCCGGGGTGCGATGGTGCACCAACCCCTTGCTCAGCGGTTTTCCTTGTATATTGGAGATTTGGTAGATGGTGGAATTACGGTGTCGAGGGAGCTTGATTTGAGTGAGACTGATGGAGGAGATGAAATTTCCTGAAGCTCCGAATCCACCAAGACCTTGACTGGAAAAGAGTGGTTCATGTACATTTGAAGGATGGACATATTCGCTTGCCGTAGTCGAAAGGGCTCATCGTGCACGGAGACCGCCGAGGTAGTTTTGCCAAACACCTCGCGGAAATGATCAATGAAGACATCATAGGAGCGCACTAGGGGAATACGATTCCGAGCTTCTTTATTTACTAGTGGTGTCAAAATTAGCGTGTTAACACAGGCGATTGATTTTTTCAGTTTAACGCGTTAAAAATATTTAACGCAATTAACGCAGGGCCGGGACTAGGGTTGGCCACCCCACTCAAAACTGCTGCTTCTGTCAATTTTCTCTTGACAAGAAGTGCATTTATTCAGTCGCAGAACGACTGAGCAATATCACGGAAGATTTCATTCATGAAGTTTTGGAAGATGGATGGTGAGTTTGAAAGGCCATACGGCATAACCAGGTATTCGTAGTGCCCGGATGGTGTTATGAATGCAGTTTTCCATTCGTCTCCTCTTCGAATGCGGATTAGATTGTAGGCACTGCGTAGATCGAGTTTCGTGAAGATCCGGGCACCACTGAGTTCCTCCAACGAGGCTGGCACCAGAGGTAGTGGATAGGAAAATTTGATGGTCTGGAAGTTGAGTGCTCGATAGTCGATACAAGGACGTAGGCCCCCTTCTTCGCCACAAAGAAGAAACTGGATGCTGCAGGAGAAGTGGAAGGATGGATGAACCCCTGATGTAATGCCTCCTTGATGTACTCCTCCATGGCAGCGTGCTCTGGGATCGATAGGGGATAGACATGTCCCTTAGGTAATTTGGCTCCAGGCAGCAGGTCGATCGCACAGTCCCATGGCCGATGAGGTGGAAGATGGGTTGCCGTGACCTTGCTGAACACGTCCTGGAACGCCCTGTAGGCGGCTGGAATGGGGACTGAGCTTTGTGAAGCTGGGCTCTCTATAGTGGTAGAGCAGAGCGGTATGGAGGGCTTAGCTCGGTCTGGAAGAGGGAGATCTGCTAAACATGTCCTGAAACAGGATTCACTCCACCGAAGTATTTCCCCGGAGTTCCAGTTGATGTCTGGATGATGTTTAGCCAGCCAG